TGAAGCAAAAACTTGGCCATTATATAAAATTTTTTCTTTTTTTAAAATGATTAGTATCTCGATAACTATTGCGAAGATTGCAAAATGGTAGAGGACTTTTTTGTTCAGTTTGGTCCACACTACCTGACCACAAACGCTGTACCATTGAGTACGAGACACCCGTATAAGTGTAAAGAACAAAATCACAAGTATAATCTAATTAAATCTCATTATCATGTTTCGTTGTTTAATCTTTTTTTTATACTAGCAACAGTTTTTAGTAGTAGTTGTTATCAAAGATAAAAATATGAATAGAAAACTTATGTTTTACAAGTTTCATCTTAGCTCGGGAAAAAAGGTGATCATAGGTGATCTATTTTATAGTGATGAACCAAAAAGAGATTAAATAACGAAACATGATATTAAAGTTTAATTAGATTATACATGTGATTTTGTTCTTTACCTTACCCAGCCAGATATGTTTGATCGATTGATATCGAATCGACGTCGATTGACATTGATTTCACGTCGATTCAACGTCGATCAATATTGATTCGACATTGATTCAACGTCGATCGACCAATCATTTCTGGCTGGATATGTATTAGCCTTGTATTAATTCTGTGTATTATTTAATATGTGTTAAGTTTTAATAAGTAAAAGGCGACATGATTTTCGAAGATTACAACTATTTTTTTTATATCATTTTGTATATAAAAGTATGAAAATACAATTACTAAAAAATGAATAATTGACAAGATATTTTGCATTTTATATCAAAATATGCCAGAATAAAGTATAAAATATATCGGAAACTATAAATTGTTTAATAACGGTATTTTAATACTTTTATATATAATAGAATCATATTATGTAAAAGAATACAACTCTTAAGAATACTACTTAAAAAAAATGATCTAGTTGAAAAAAATCAATTTTTTAAGAAATTGATTTTGCTATTGGTATCTTCCTACAAACTATACACTTTTGTTTGAAACATTAAATGTTGAAACATTTTCCAGTTTCAACATTTAATGTATTAATTACAAAATATTTGAAGCAGGTAATTAAAATAAGGTACATTATATTACTTTTTTGGGTTTGACGCAAATGACGTACCTCCATTCTTCTTCTCTGGGAGTTTCATGAAATAAAAATGCTTCTTTGCTCAAATCTAATTCCTGAAATCCGATAGCATATATATCAGGTGGCATTTCGTCTGTACTTAACCAATGATTTAATTTAATGCCATTTGGAGGTTGTCCATTTACATTCCATGTGCAAGTAAGTATACTGTAATTAATAATAATGTTACATGTAAATAATCATAATATGCACAAAAATATATTTTTTAATTAAATTAAAAAGAAAAGACTTGTATGTTCATAACAATGTGAGACAACGAACCGAAATGTTTTACTATATGTATAATCATCTTCTTTGCAGGCCATCTGATATCGTACCACTGATTCTCTTGCAGCTACTGGGGATCTACCCGAGGCAATGCTCTGTCTTGGTATTGCTAAATCGTGATTTTCAAGATTGAGCAACTATAAAAAATAAATTTTTATTAAAACAGGTTCTATCAGTCCTATTTTATATTTTTATACATTAATATAACACATTAGAAAAAAAAACACCATAACGAGATTAGTCATTTTCCATAGTTTTTTGGACGTTGAATTCGAGTCCGTTGTAGAATTGCTCTATCATGTCGCAATTTTGAAAAATTTGTCACTAAAGTTGCAAAAATGGGCTATTTTTACGTACTTTGTCATAATATAATTTTGAATGCGACGTGCTAGAGAAATGTTCTTGATCAATTAAAATAAAGTAGAGGAATTTTTTGTGTCCGTTATGATTAACAAGTTATTTATTATTAAACATGGAATCTACTGCAAAAAAAAGTTGTGAATTAAATCATTGATAATTTACCAAACAGCTTCCAATTTTTTTTATTTCAACTTAAGGCGATGCTGGAAGGTCGGCCAAATTTGTACGAGTTCGATGAAGCAGTCTGCTCAATTCATGACAATATTTGGTTAATATGAAAATTCTACAGTTTATATGTGCAAATGAAGTTATGCCACCCTGCGGACAACACAAAAAGAAAATTGAATTGTTAAAACTAGGATAAAAGCCTAGAAAAAGTTATTCACTTTTAAAGATTTCATGTAGATGTGCAAATCTGCATGAAATCTTTAAAAATGAATAACTTTTTTTATATGCTTTTATCCTAGTTCTAACAATTCAGTG